ATACACTATTTCAATGGGGTAAGTCACTGTTCCACCTTTAGGTCCGAAATATCAAACAAGCTTAAATTATCGGGGTCCAAAAACAAAAATGGAGATTGCGGCACGAGTTCGTTAAATCAAAGTTATCCAGTGCGAGCGCTTCGTTACATGGAGTTCACAAATACAAGCGCTTCTATGAAGATTGTGTTGGGGAATTGAAAAAGTTTGTTAAATAGAGGATTTCGTTGTATACAGGTTCGTTACATCCAGGTTTAACTGTTGTATTGCAATTACCAGAGCTCTAAAAATCGTGTAACTTGGTGTATATACTAAGTAGCATATGAGCATTCCATTTCAAGAATAATCTATCCGTTTAATTTTCGTGTCATAACGCCTTTAATAAAAAGAACTTGAAAGAACACGGAGTGCTTCCTTTGAAGTGGACATAATTTGTGTGATAAGCAGGCACATGAAGAGGTTATATAGAGGAACCCTGATTATATGACTTTAGGGGGACTGCGTGAGAAAGTCATATAATCCGCGAGTCGTATAATTCGATTAACCCGAAAAACAGTGCTTATGACTTCGGTGCTCGGCCTCGGAGAACTAAACATGTAGAACTTCTGAAATTACTTCAAGGCGAAAGTACTGCTGGCCATATGCATGGCAAGTGTTGGCATCCCTGAGGTCCTGCAGATCCTACAAAGGGCCTCAATTAGCTTCTTGACTGAACTGGATGCGTGTGGTCTCATGGGTCTGCAGACGCATGACGTCAAAGACGGATGTGACATCACGAGCAAAACGTCGCCGAGATCTATTTTGTTGAGCTGATATTTGCCATATAAAAGAACATAAGCATTTCTTTCAAAGAATGTTTGTGTATGTTGTTTTTTCTATAAATAAAAAGTAGACCTTGGGGGAGCTTGGGGGGTTCACCCTCCCTTACATATGGTTCACGTGTCAAGACTGTACGCGGCTAGCGATAAGGTTCGAATCCGAAAGCTGCTCTACTCTGCGGTGCCACAGGCACGTGGAGTCGTAGATACAGTCAAACCCACTTATAACGATCCCACATATAACGACCTATTGGTTATAACGACCAACTTTCAGAAAATATACGAAGTCAAGGCCTTACCCATTAAAATTGGTCCAGATAAAACAACCGTTTTTCAAAGCATCATACTGTTACAACTAACACAAAGTCTGCTTTCAAAAATAAAAAATAAAATAAACTTTCGCGCACAAAAAGCAAAAAAACAAAATTAAGAGCTACATTTTGAGCGTGGCGGTCTGCGAGACGCTCAGTCATTTTCACGGCATCGAGGCAGGGGAACAAAACCGAGTCGCGTAGTCTGCTGATTGTGCGTGCGCGGTAAGGAGAAGAGGAGGAGAAAGTCAACTCTCATGCCGTGCTGCGTTCATTCGTTCTAAGTTTGCAAACTCTGTATGCAACTCAAGAAGAGCTCAATGCTCGGTACAAGTTGGCTAGCCCCATCACCATCGTGACCGTTTGTTTACATTCGCCATTTTGGTATCATGCACATTCTCGCGTCTACGGACTCGTGCCTGTCGTTTTAAGATGGGGGAGAGGGAGGGGGGGAGGAATCTACTAAGAGGCTTCATTTAAACGAAAGGGCATCACGCTGGCGGAAAAGGGTGATAACGGAGCAGCACTGCTTGGCCTCGCAATCCTAGCCACCCGACGAGCTCGCAAAGTGTTGTTTAAAAGACGACCCTGCCAGAGGCGACGGCCGCGCACTCGTACATGCACAGGAAGCGCGGCACTTGAAACGCTTTAGACCAAAGCAAGTATTAATTACCCCTGTGGACAGCGAAGAACCATCGTCGGACTAGTGCACGGCATTTATTTTTGTGGTGGCGTGCGTTTTATAAAATCTGTTCTATAAGGTATGTGGTCAATCTTCATTATTTTACTTGAGCGGTAGAATCGGCAGCAATTTACTTTTTGATTATCTGAAAGCTAAATCTGCTTTCACGTCAGCATTGGGGGCGCGTTAGAATCGTGCAAACAGTTTTTTTAAATAAAGAGCTGGCAGAGTGAAATTACCAACTACTCTGGACACTAACTTTACCAATGCTTCAATGTTATTTTTCTTAAAACGTGTGTGTATGTGTGTGTGTGTGTGTGTGTTTTATGTGCTGATGCACTCTTCACAATGTTGAAATTAATTGATTTATGACTTTAATGCTGGTGGTTTAGTTACACAAGCCAATTCTGGCTTCGGCAGACCCGAATCATACTTCGTCGCATCTGAAAAATGAACTATTATTATTATTATGATTATTAATATCCTTATTTACAATGTTTTAAAGGGAAGTCCAGATGTAACAAACTACTGATAAAACTACCACTTTTTGCGGAACTATAACGTTCGTTATAAGTGGGTTTGACTGTAGCAGCAAATGTTTATACTTTCTGTTCTCATTTTTACACTAATTTCAAGTACAGCATTTAAATTTAACAAATGTTGTTCAGACATTAGTGTAACTTTTTTTTTTCTTCTAAAGAGCAGCTCATTGGCTGCATTTTGATGTATTATAATTAGCTAAATGGTGATTAGTACTTGAAATAAAAATGTTTTGTCCGACCCTCAATGATTGGGTGCTTCGATTTCAGGTAAGGCCCGATATTTCTCAGTAGCCACATCCTGAACGTGCTTCGTGAAAATCGGGTTAAAGGCAATTTTTTTCCAAATTTGAAAATTGAATTTCACCATTTTTCAAATTACTCTGCGCCGAAAATATTTTCTTGGAAGCAAAGAGTTGGTAGAGGGACATACATTGAGCCCCAAAATTTCTCTTTTGTGTCTTTTGAGAAGAACCCTTCGTCCTTCCCCTCCTTCCGTTTGAACCAGCAAAAAGAAAAAAAAAAAAAAAATAGGAGATGCACAAAGATTTTTTTTAACACTGTTTCAAAATGAAGAGCAGATATTTTATTACTTTTGGACTAGGTAGTGATAATATTGTTCATCCTAAATGTTTGCATAAGCTTTGTTCTTGAGAGAACATTCTCTCAGTTCGTGTATATTCAAAAACAGGACTTGGATTGATGAGATGCTGCACATGGGGAAAATTATGTAAACAATGAGGATTCTAAAAAAAATTTAAAAGCTCAAGTGATTTCATACAATGTTCCAATGCGACCCGGTGTACTTAAAGGGGTCATGAAACAATTTTCGAAAATTCTGCACTATATGCTTATTTGGACTACTGGTCCTCTATTACGTAACCCACGCGCATTTGTTTTATTGTCCGGATTGGTTTATTAGCGTAAAACAAGAATTTCGTTTTTCCGGAGAGCTTCCTTTATATTTCTACAACTATGTGATTATGTAAGTAACAAGGATTATAAAAAAATTGAAAAGCTCAAGTGATTTCATACAATGTTTTAATGCGACCCGGTGTACTTAAAGGGGTCATAAAACGTTTTTCGAAAATTCTGCACTATGCGCTTATTTGGACAACTGGTCTTCTATTACGTAACCCACGCGCATTTGTTTTATTGTCAGGATTAGTTTATTAGCGTAAAACAAGAATTTCGTTTTTCCAGAAAGCTTCCTTCTTATTTCTACAACTATGTCGCATCAAGACAGCCATTTGAAAAGTGTTGCTTTCTGACGTCAGGCGTACAAGTCAAGGGCAACCAGGTACTTTTTCAGGTGCAAGATGTCCGATCGGTTGGACCTCACCAAGCTTCAGTGCCGCTAAATTGAGCACAGCCGACTTTTCGGCTTTGTGCCTTATGTGGACACTCACCTCCGACGAGTACTAGACCGGTTAGTCCGACGGCAAAGACGGGGCGAGCTTTTGCAGCACGGTTCAACGAGACGTGCCCGTTTCGTGTCCAGGCCAAGGCTTTGCCCCACTTCAATGTTCTTGTCATGGTGCCCCATTAGAAAGTTATCGGAACACACGTAACCCTGGCTCCTGCCGATGTCGTCCGGGCCATTGCAGTCAACGGCTCGTAGCCTGGCCGCTCTCCGCCGTGGATCGTCCGGCAACTTATAAAACCGAATGTCGTTCGCTCTATCGTACCTTGTGCTGCATGGTCTCACAACGCACACAGTCGGCCAGGCAGGTGCTGTAGCGCGCACACAACACACGCCACCAACACCGAGCATCCACAACTTAAACCTTCCATGCACAGAGAATGCGCAGAAACCAGCAGACGACAGAAGCCGACGTTGCGACGTTGTTGACATTGCTATGGCTGCCGGACGACGAAAATCTCGGATGTGTTTGAGAGCAAAAATTACCAGCAATCGCTCAGTATGGTACCGCCGAATTAGTTTTTGAACGTCATTAAATGCCTCATTATTTTCGTAACTTCCTTTTTGTTATTGGAACACAAAATAAAGTACAATAGATTCTCAACCTTCCACAGGTATTTTTGTGGCGTTTCATTGCTCAAGCTGGCCAACAATAACGCATGGTCGTTCCAGGCACCCCAAGAAACAAGATTTTCAAACATGGTTTATAAAACGTGGATGCAATATTTCGCTGTGATATTTGGTATTTCGGATTTTCGCGGCCTCATTAATTTTATAAAATTAAGTCTGGGCATATCTATTTTTTTTGCATAACCCCTTTAATTACCTTAATTGTAAAAAAAGAATTATATATTGAAACAAATTAATGCTTTTTATTGTTAATTATGCTTACGTCTTCCCAAATGTAACCTAAAATAACCTGAGGTCCAGTAAATTTGTCTAAAACCCAATTTTTCTTGATTATCTGCTTGGAACAATGCAGCCGATTTTTACCCCCCCCCCCCCCCCCCTCCCCCCATTCCTCCAGATTTTTAAAAAATATGAAACCCAAAAACAGTCATGGGTCACCACTTTTTCCTATGGCACGGAAAGAGTTAAACTGGAAGTACACTTTGGGGCGGGGACAGCCAAAGAAATTCTGGTACTCGGGGAACTCCTGAGGGTGCTCTGGGGAACCCATCTTGAGAATCCATGCACTAGATACATTTCGTCCCTATATTTCCAATGCAGGTGCTAATCTTCTGGGTGACAGACAACTTCCTGATGCAGCACCATCCCCGCCTCAATGGCCGAAACGGTTCGGTGAACAAGAAGAACCCTCCAAAGTCCTCGGCATTGCGGCGGTCCTGGGTGCATCCGGCAGACGAGGAACCGGCCTCGTGGCCGGAGTGCGAGGGGCTGCTCTCTGGGGAGGAACGTCCCGGGGCCCTGTCCTGAAAACGGCCTCAGCAGTTTCAGTGCTTTAGCTTGACACCTTGAGAGGAGGACCTCCTTCTGGGCAAATGATTCCCAAAAACGATGCTGTGATTCTGCGGTAGCATGCAGTAACCTTCCCTCGTTGAAGAACTGTTTTATCCCATGGACAACTTTGTGTTTCCAGCAACGAATGTACACCTGCTCAGGACAAGTTTGTGAGTTTTCGGCTGTCGGCGGTATACGTTGAATTGACTCTCGAGACATGCAGCCCTTTTCGAGGGTCAGCAACCTCTAAACTGGCTCTTTGCAAGGGTGGCCCCTTCTAGCAAACACCCTCAAGCCATTGATAGGATCCTTCCATCAGAATTCTCTGAACCGAGTTCTTGCAAGGACTGCTTTTCCCTGGGGAAGGCCTCATGCCACCCTGCTTGTAGCAGCTAGCATTGGGACATTCCTGGCAGCTCCTGCAAAAATTTTAGTATTGAGAATGACGTCTGTTAGCCGAACCATTATCCCCAGACCCTGAGACATTTTCGAGAGAGAGAGATCTGGTCCAGATGTCACTCCCATTTGCCCACATGCAATTTCAGGAAAAAGTCAGTACAGTTGGAACTGGATTATGGAACTTGTCCCAGCTAGATTGTCTGATTTCCAGCAGGGATTTAGTTCCATAATGCTGCCCAGGTATACTAACTTTCAGAAAAAGTGCCAGAGTAGACAAAAAAATATGTGAAGGATAATGGGCTCTACTCAAGACATGGTACACTTGTCGGTGGCATTAGCAGAAATTGTGAAGTGGCAATATGGAGATTTTGGCTTGCCACATAGAGCTGAGATGCTTAGCTGGCTCTGGAAATGTGCATGCACACAGGTCCTGCCATGACCATACTCTGTATCATGACTCCTCCCTGGAGCTTGGCAACTCGAGCTGATATTGCACAAGACTGTGCCCCATTTACAAAAGACTAAAGGATGGAACTTCAGAAGTCATTCAGTTGCCATAAATTAGGACCTGTGGTGGAGGAACTAAAAGAAGCCCTTACGATGCCTTATAGCAGTCCTTAGTCCTGAGATGTTGCATTTAGAATAGCTGTGCGAATGATACGTAGAACATGTCTTCACATGACGTGTCGCCTCCTAGTGTAACACACCCGTTTCAATAGCTTTAGGAATTGTTTCTTTCAGGCGGTTTCACTTGCCTTTGCCATAGTGCAGGAGCTGCAAGATTTGTTTGGTCTTCGATGAAAATTCTCAATTATACTCAGTCCTCATTTTCAGTTATTTCAAGGCTATTAAGCTAGTCATGGTATGTAGCTGGGTTTTGTTCTTAGAATAAGAATGTACTTAAACAATTATATTATCGAAGGATATTTTGAGATTAGAAATGTATACATATCTTGTGCAATTAATTATTTTTTTAGGGCTTTACCCTTTTTGAACAAAGAGAGGCCACGGTCGGCTTTGGTTGTATCAGTTCACAACCAGTGTGATGGTCTGTGAATTGCGGCACTGGAACCAAAGAATTGTTGTGTGATGCATTCTGGAAAAGCATATATACAGAAAGCCAGCAGAAGTCCCCAAACCTGTTTCCCTCTCAGTGCTTTCAGGGTATGGTTATTACCCCGTGCAAGGGTCTGGCAACATTGCTTGGAAATTGCTATGAAAGCATCGTCAAACTCGGGCTTGGCAGTTTTGCAATAGAGCGACTCATGTAGGACACACTTGATGCAACTCCAGTTTTTCTATGCTCAAGTGCTCCAGACTCGTTGCATCTAATTTGTTGTGTACTTCACCCCCAAAGAATGACCAAGATTGAAATAGTAGAGAAGTATAATTCTCTTCTCCAGTACCCTCTGCGGCCACTCCTACTATTGACTAGCAATAGTTTTGTTTTTTATTTATAGGGTATTCTTATCTAAGGAAGAAAAAGGCATCCGGTGGGAGGCCTCTTCCTTACCTCTTGTTCATTATTCATAACTCAATGCACATGCACATTTAACTTGTCTACTTCACACACCAAGCCAGTGATAGTGCTGTTGTCTAAGGGCAGCACTGTTTGCGGCATTGTGAAACACACCTCAATGAACCACACAATCGGACTATGATGTGCCCCCCTTCATTCTGTGTGCCCTTGTACTGTCTTTTTTTTTTTGAAGGGGGGGGGGGGGGGGCACATACCTTTCATGTTTAGCTTTAAAAAGGGGGATTTGAGGTGGTGTTCCTTGATGCAATGGTCTTTTGTATTCATGTGAATTCTGATATACTTGTCAATTTCCCCTTAAGAGCTTGGGAAAAAAATAAATTATTATTTCTTTTGTGTTTGTACATCTCTTCTGATTGTCATGAACTGAGACACCTGTAAATGTACCGTCTGCCAGGGGGAAATGGATGTGAACATATTTACATGTAAATATTTCCTTAGGGTAGTTTTATTGTAATTTTAACCGAGGAAGTTGAGTGGGCTCTTGAAATTTCCTTGACAAAAATACATGTTTGTATTTGTATTAAATTTTTTAAAGTTTTTCCATAATTCGTAAACTATTAGTATGCAGGGCGTTGTTTTTCTTTTTCTTTTAAGGAGGGAGAGGGGGTGCGGGCTTTTGCAGATTTGTTTCATAAAAATCGTGGAAGCTACACTCAGGTTTGTGCAGGCGAGTATAGGGATTTTTCACATAATTTCTTCTACCATTTTGTTGTTACGAACTGTCTGGCCTGTGCTGAAGGCAAGTATTACGAGGATTCACGTGACACCCTCAAATGCGTAGTGCACACGAGCTTGTGTCATCACGCTAACACTCTGGTGCGTGGAGAAATGATTGCTTCGGCAACAAAACGGCGGATTAACGTCGCATGAAGACACCCTATATGGCCAGGGGGACATGATATGAGGGACTATGGTCACCATAACTGATATTTACTAATTAAATTTTTAATTAGTGAATATAAATATGCAGTTTCATTTCAAAAACTTACTCAGCGTCATGTAAAACCACTAAATCGGTCAATTTTATAGACTGAGCGCTACCGCTCTTGCAACAGGCACGCGACTATCGCTGGGACAATGCGCCCACATGGTTTTTCCGTCGCTTATCATTCTCGTTTCCTTATCGCGAGGGGAGCCTGGAGTGAGGCACCCTGCTCGTATTCTGACGCTTAAAGGGACGCTGCAAAGAGAAGGAAAAAGCCACATGCTGCTTCGAAGGGTGTGCCTATTATTGTCAACCATGAGCGTTCAGTGACAACATTGGTCTAGTGCACGGGTCTGCAAAGATTTCGGCAAAGTGGCCAGATTGGGGATTTTTCCCGGTTTCGAGAAATGGAAAATAAATCGGTAAATAAAATGAGAAAAAGCTATATAATATACATAAGCGTTCACATTCCGAAATTCAATATACAATAAATAATACAAGCAATCTAATGTAGATGACTACAATTACTTTATTTCGACAATTGATATTTAGCTAATTGGTACATTATACAATGACTGTGACAAAGAAAACTCCCAAGGCAAAAAGCAAAGCACATGCAAACACTTATTCACACTGGCAAAGTACTAATATGAAAGTAGAACCAATGACATTATGTAATAGTTAAGGCATAAGGTACTAAAAACTGTATTCGTGATAACGCAAAACTCTTCTAACATAGCCACATACTACCTATGACATACAGCTACATACATATGACATGGCAAGATGTTAATCGGAACGGATAAATATATTGACCCGGACATAAAGAGCAAGGCTAATGCGAGCGGTGGAGCTGGTGCTTAGTCTTCAATATTTCGCCAAATTGTGGCTGCAAACTGGATGAACCAATAACAGGGACTACAAGTGTGTCTGGCAAATTAGTAGCTCTGTATTTTGATTTTATATACCTCATTCTTGAAAATGTCTGCTGGCAATGGTTTCTTGTTTCAAAAACTGACACATACCTGCAAGCATTCTGTTTCGAGTGAGGCAAGCTGATCAGAGTCCAATGATTTGTAAAACTGTAAGAGGTTCCCTTTTTTGTATTTCTCCCTGAGAATGTCATTTGACTGCAAGTAAATTACCTCTGATTGAAACTGAGCTGGAAGTGCATCCGAATCGCAGGTAAATGGATCTTGGAACATGGTATTTTCTCCACTCTTCTATCGAGGTAAGAGAAACGTTCGCGAAATTCTTTCTGAAAGTCGCCGAGGATTTCAATGGCGATTAAGGAGGGTAATTCCGGATCAGTCTCTGCACGGAGCGTTGCACAACAGGGGAAGTGGTTCCAGTTCTGGCTTTGCACTTGTCTTTCAAAAAACTATTTTTGCATGGAATCCTTTAGGGTGGTTTTATTTGAAGTCGAATACGCTTGTCGGGGTGGGTCTTTCGATTTTTTTTTAAATATATGTAATTGCCCCATTTCTGGAAAGAACAAAACCGCTTTTCAAACTTTTTTTTAAATATTTCGCTTCACAAAAAATAATGAGTGGAGCAAGGTGAAAATCTAAATTTTTTTACTTTAAAAATTTTAATACTAAAACGTGGGTATTTCAAATTCAATTGTAATAAATACAATTTTCTGAGCGAAAATACATGCCTCAAATTTATTGTCACTGTCCAGAGCAGGAAGAAAACTACTTTCTGTACCGAATGCAGTGTCTCTCAATCAAGCTCAAGCGTTTCGTGACTTTGTGATTACGGTGCTAGTCCAGGGCAAGATTAGTGACGAAATCGACGTTCACAGGCAGACTGGCTAAATAAGTGCCTGATTTCTATGTATTTGTACCTTGTACTTAAATGCTTTTTTGGAAATGTAATTAAATTTGTAATTAAATACATTTTTGACAAAGTATTATGTATTTGTATTTCGATACATATTTGCATGTATTTTGCCCATCCCTGTTCAAGACTGATCGATATCTCTGTTGCCAATAAGCAACGATTCCTACATGCACACAAGGCAGCGAAAGCAGTCACTTAATGTCTCTGTAGACTTTTAGTTTCTCCACTTTGTCGCTCCGCCGACATTTTGAGCTACCTAATCCAAAGGCATTTTCTGAATGCTGATGGCTTCCTGATTCCGAAATGCTATGTCGTTCTCCCAGATTCACTCTAGTTAATTAAAAAAAGTGATATTTTGTTTGCTGCCGAAACCGAAACATCGTTCTTCCTAGTTTTTCCCCAGTTTTCCCCGCCGCCCAAGCGTGACGTCACTTGTGCAGCGAGGCGCGCGGCCGGCAATCGGGTACGCTGGCGCCCGCCTTTCTCGCGTCTGACAGCAAAAGAACTTGGCCGTTTGTGCTGTTTGAAGCGGATAATTATCTATATTTGCACAAAGTATGACCTTGGCCTACGTGCCTAACTATAAGAAAGTACAAAAAAAGAAAAAATAATAAAAGAAAAATGGAAGCAATTGGAATTTTCAGAAAACCGTTTTTGCAACTCGCTATGCTCAAGCCATAGAGTTATTACAATAAACGCTAGAGGCTCAGCTGGCGCTAGTGTGCTGTTGCATTTTGAAGCAGACAGCAAGTAGAGCACTATATAGCTCCTTCGGAGCAGAGTAGCGCAATCTAGAACGCCGCCTCTCGGCGACTAGCGGCGAACGCCCGGAGGTTCCAACTGCGGTCAGAAATGCAAGGGGAACGTGAGAAAATCGTTGGTTTTCCAGTATTGTGGGAATGTACAGAATCGCAATCATTTTTGACATAATAATGGAACACTTTAGAATACTTTGCGCTAAGTTTTGTGCCCCGCAAGGACCTGACTTCTTTTAAAAAATTGCCTAAGCGGCATCATGCAGCAGACGACACGGCGACGTCACACCATTCACGTGACCCGCTCCGGCCAACCCGAAAAGCCCATCTCCGCTGCGAGCAAAAATCGTCTGCTTCAAACGCCATTGCCTTGGAAATTACCTTCTCAAAATTTGCACACGCATCCGATATTATTAAAATTTTGATAAAATGTTTAGTACTTTACTAACTTCACGACAGACTAGTTTTGAAAAGTGTGAACTCGCCGTTCATTTTTTAATCAGCCGTGTTGTGTCGATCTCCATGTATTCTCCCACAGGGCAGGCCGCCTCCTGGAACCCTGAGTACCACGTGACTCGCGCCGAGCCGCTCTGTCGGCCATGTTGTCGGCAAAACACGGGGTTCAAAGGATTGCGCTACTCTGCTCCGTAGGAGCTATATAGTGCTCTAACAGCAAGCAGTCAGAAATTGACTTCCGGTAATGCATTTCTATGGGCAAAAGCGAGTGCATTTTCTCTCTGCGCTCGATTATAAGAGCAAATATCACGAATTATTTGTACGTACTAGGCACATTGGAACATTTTTTAGTCACGCAGACAAAATAATTTGGCCAGTTACAGCATTTTTATTTGAAATTCACGGCATTAAAAAAGGTGTTAAAACCGCTTTGTACGTGTATTTATGTGCACTGTCGGACACTGCTAGCGTGAACACGGCGTCGACGCTTTCAAACGAACGAACGACATGTGGAAAACCAAGAGAGACGGCAAGAACTACGCAGTAACACTGGGTAAGTAACTCCTTGTGCTTGCTAGACGATCAAAATAAGTTCAAAGTCGCGTAGTATAGTCCGATCTGCAATAAATAAGTACTGCTTTATTCTTTCTGCTCAAGAATATGTGCGAAGATGCTCGTTCTGTGTTCAAATCATCACCGGCACGCTCCAAACCTTTGCAAATAGGGGGAAGCGAGAGGACAGGTGCGCGATAAAAACTGCCCAACATAGGAATAATAAGAAAACACACCTTTCGTAGCCCACGTACTTTATCCTTTACATTTCGAACGTCTTTTTTTTTTTTAACCACTCGTAAAGGTGCACGACGGGGTCATTTTCATATAGTGAGATGATAGGCATATTAGCAATATAGAAGCACCAACGGAATACTGGCGAACTTTGAACACACTCTGCATTCCTTTCGATCGTTATTTTGCTTAGAATCGCCGCTCGTTTCTACATACCTGCCATGGAACAGAGGTTTGGGCCTGAAATAAAGCGAAGTTTAGCATCGTTCAGTGGTAAAGGAAAAATGCTGTAACTAAAGCAATTACACTTTCACAATATTAATAAAGGTGCATACTATCCGGAACAACCGAAATAACAAAAGTTATTCATGTTATTTTCCGGCGACGAGACGAAATTCACGCGCGTTTTCCCATAGGAATACACAGGAAGACTGGAAAAGTAGACTGCACGCTGTCTGCTTCAATTTGCAACCGGAAGTCCCATAGACACTAGCGCCAGCTGAGCCTCTAGCGTTTATTCCGTTTATTGTAATAACTCTATGGCTCGTTTATTGTAATTGACCCCGTAAGTGAT